CTCTTCTTATTGGTCATGATCTTCCTAACTATTAGTGGCACTTAATTCATCTTCAGTAATTTCCTCATCTTTTCCCTTTTTCTTCCTTTCTCAGAGCAGAGCACATTTAAGCTATTCAGGACAGCTCCATATTTTTGAGAGAGTTTTTTTTCCTTTTTTTTTTAATATCTCTGTATTTGTCCATTCTCAAGTAGAGTTTTAGATCTACTTAAAAACACAAGATACATTGATGAGCAATGAAAAAGCGGGTGAGACAAGAAGGGTGGTAGGAACAGTGAGAGGAGGAAAGATGGAGACAGTGAGAAATCAGCTGTCTATGCTTCCTACTCTTCTTTCCCAGGTGATCCTTCTACCTGTTCTAAATTAATATCAAAGCCAGAGGGAGCAGAAAAAGGTTGGTGGGGGAAATAAACGACAACTTTAGGAAAAGAAAAATCATGATGCAGAAAAGCGTTTGTCCCCTGTATAATTCCTGCAGTGGCCTGTAGCTGATGGTGCTGAGAAAAATACAGCTGCAAGCTCTGACATTTCATTTTTGTGGAGAATTGAAAAAGGGCTTGCTATAATTCATCGCTTCTTGTAACTCAAACCTTTTTTGACAAGGGTACCTGCGCTGTCTTTTAACAGTGGCACCACAGTGGCTGTAATTGGACATGAAAAATGATGTTGTGTTTCTGGTTGCTGGGAGAATTGGGGTAGGGGTAGGTGGGGCAGTGGCAATTTGGTGTGAGATGGTGACATCTGGCATAATTTGGATGGGTTGGTTTTTGGCAAAGAAAAACAGAAGGACAACCCAAAAGAAAGGGTATGAAGCATAAAAATTATGATCACCTTGCCTAAGGTTTGCAAAGGTGATAGTAAACGTGGTATTCATCATAGATGAACATGCAAAGAATCACAGGAAAATGAGAAGTGTTATGCCCATGAAGTTCTAAGCCCACCATCAACACAAATATTTATGGCATTTGTAGGAAAAGGACACAACCACTCTTCCTGAAATAGGCCTATTCACAGCTGCAGCTGTTCTTCTTCCCAGTACAACTGGGGAACCTGAGCCACAGGCTTTTCCTGAGTCCACACTGGAACCTGAGCCACAGGCTTTTTATGACTCCACACTGACTCCACAGTTGTGCATAAAACTCTGGTATGCCATTCTCTCACCACCTCTCTGCAAACTGCGCCTATATATGTAACCAGAGATCCAAATTAAATTACTTGACTCTTGCCTAAATCTCTGTGCCTCAGTGAAACTCAGCACATCTTTGCTACAAAATTGTTATTGAGCAAAGCACTTCAAAGTGAATTTTTGGTCAAAAGGGACTTAGAATCATGAACAAGGATAAACATTATCCTGATTTATAATAGTTTTATAACTATAGAGCATTCTGGTACCATAAAGTCAGATATCTCCATATTATGGAAAGAATAGAAAATTTTAGTCAGGTCTTAAAGGATGGTAGAGAATTTAAAGATGAGATTAATGCTTTTGGGACTAACAAATGGTAAAACAATTTACTCCTTCCTCCGTGGCACCCCAACATGGATAACATAGAACAAGGAAGCATGATCATATTTCAAATGAGAGCACAAGGAGCATCCATGAGCAGAGGAGATAAGGACCACTGAAAGGACAGGAGTGTAACACATCCTAGAGGAAAGCCAGTTCATATGTTGGGTCAGCCTGCCCTAAGCCTTTTCCCATGCAGCCAAATCCCTTTTGAAGCCTTCTAGTGACAGAGTTTAATAACACCTTACAGCCACATCTGTAATTTCACAGATCCCAGGTGGATTGCCTGATGGTATTAATCAGATTTGCTGTCTGGCAAATATTCTTTCTCCTGTCACATTCTCAGGGTCCACCAAGACAGAACACATATTAAAATGTCCATATCAGTATTTCCCCAAACACTCTTCAAAAGGCTGCATTTTAGAGTATAAACTTTGGTTTCATTCCACTTAACTTGTGGCCATTTCTAGATAAAGAATAAGCAGGGAACTTCAGTATCTGAATACCCTTCTCCCCAAGAAGGCATTTCCCCGGGGATAGAAAGCTACATTGTTCTGCCATTTTATTTCCCCCCCTTAGCCCTTTTCTAGTCCCCATGACAGGTTCTTGCTCCCAGAGTGTCTGTATAAAAAAAAAAAAAAAAAAAAAAAATCCATAGATGGAGAAAGGGAACTTAATTATTTTCCTCTCAGTGTTCTTCCCTATAATTGGTGTCTTTCATGTCAAGATGATCTCAATTTGTATTATGGGCTCCGTTCAGGCAGCACTTTCTCTTTGGTCTATAAAGAAATTGTCAAGTGTATAAATCATAGTGTACATTAAATTACACTAGCCTTTTACTTATTAATTTCCCCAGTTTTTTCTTCCTCTGTTGGATGCTTATTTTCTCACTACTTTTTTTAAACTGCCTTCAGAACTGACTGCTTTTTCTCACTCCTCAATATCAAAAAGAAAAAAAAAAAAAAAAACAAAGAACCAAACCAAAATAAAAACAACCAAAGTCCAAATACATATTCCCCTCATTTCATTTTTGCTAAAGAGTATGATTATGTTCTCTGCCTTGTGCAAACTGACTTCATTCAACTCAAAAAGAATGATGAAATCTGTCTAGTTCTTCTCAAGGCTGGATCCAAAAGTTACTTGAGTTCAGTGCAAATTTTCATGAACTTTAGCACAATTCAGATCAGTACCTATGTGGGTAGATTTATGGGAGGTTCTGCATCTCAAGGCTGTGTCCATTTGGACTCCAGACTTTGCCTCTCGAGCCTGTATGTTGCACACCTCCTGTAGATTCCTGGCTACTGTCTCTTACTGACTGCTTGGGATCAGGTCCTGGATATCTTGGAATGAGCACCAGGGACCTCTGACCCTCCTCCTCTGACCATAGGGGTTGGATTAGCCATAGGGTTCTCATCAGAAGCCCATAATTTGGAATAAGGGGGCAAGTGTTAAAAGTAATCAGGGGTCGAGTCAGATATTGGTACGTGGATGGTACAGACCAGCCTGCTGCAAACACGAACAGAGATTGAGCAGCAGAGGGAAGTGAGCAAGTAATTTAGCTTCATTATCCTGCACATGAGAGGCAAGGTGGGGTTCATCTCAGCTAAGTCTAAGTGCAAAGACAACCTCTATGATCAGTAGGGAGGAACAGAAACAGCCACTGCAAAAGACCATACACAGTTTATGTCACAAACACCAAGTTTAAGAGTGGCTTAGAGTTACACTTTCTACACATTTGGAGTTACCTGCATGGTGTCAGATCTCTGAATGTGTGTAACAGCTAGCTGCTCATATGTGGGTATAAAGTAGCCCTGTGGCAAGATATCTGTCCTGCTGCTGCTGCTTCATACATCATATCTGCCCTGCTAATATCTTGTGGTACCTATGTGAGCAACTGGTCTTTGCAGTGGCAGAAGCAAGGGCTGATAAAAGGTTTAACAATTACCAGATTCTTTTTGGTTTTAGCACTTCAGCTGTCTGATTTTGTTGGATGGTACAGGAGAGCAGAAACTGCTCAGTAGCATCTGTAGCCATGGATCCTTCTCTTCCAGAGTGTGTAGTCAGTTTATGGATAAGTACATTTTCCTCTAGAGACAACAATAGAGCAGGATCTGCTGGCTCTTCATCATCTTAACCTACTTGTCAGCCAGCTTGATAACTTGTTGTTACTAAAAATGTGTGCAGAGCAATTAGAATAAATCTAACTTATTATGAAGCACTTTCCAAAAAAAAAAAAAAAAGAAACAACAAAAAGGCAAAAATTAGGAAAAAAAAAAAGGAAAAATAAAACTAATGGCCTTGCTGCCCAGCTATGATTAGTCACAAATAAGGGATGGATTAATTCTCTGAAGGCATTCTGTGATATTCATCAGGCAATTTGTGGTCTGACTTTACTGGGAAGGCATATGTTAGGAGGTTCCTATTGCCTTCTGACCTCATGCTCCTTATGATGCTTGTTTGAACTTGTACTTTCTTTGTTGGTTGACAAATCAAAATGATATATTCATTCTGTTCAGAGGTGGTCACACATAAAATAATATTTTGAATAGTCCATCTGCACAGGGTATTAATTGCTTTATGTGACAAGAAGTATAAGGCAGGGAAGGGCTTTCAGACTAAATTCTTAGCTGGTTCTGATCCAGTCTGCATCTCTGTCTATTGACAGGAGGGGTATACCCTCAACACTGTTCTTCAGGCACCCACATCATGTTAGGCACCGCCAGTGAAGAACATTGTGAGCATCTGTTGCCCTGTCTCCTGGGAGTGAGCAGCTCTGGGAATAGTGACGCTCCCCAGTGATTTTGTTAAGTGAAAGAGGGATAATTTGAATAACAGAAACATATTCGCAACACAGTGGCAAGGTTTTTAAACCTACTTATATTGTGACATGAGACAGGAAAAAGATATCTGAAAAAGAAATAGAAGGAACATCTGGTCCTCTACTCCCAGAAAATTCTCAGTATCCAATGCTCCTGGAGCCATGTGGAAAAATTAGACCCAAATGCAGGTTTGAAATGGAGGCTGCTACATTACACATGACTATCCTAGTGAGCTAACAGTAGAAGTGGAATTAGCTTTTCAATTTCCTTTCCATCATGCCAATCTCAAGAAATTTTTGCAGTTTAAATTTCACTGGTCCTGATGTTCTGACAAAGCATTTTTACTCTCATGCACCAGTGTTTCCAGAGAAAACTATTAGAAATTTTAAAAGTTACATTTAAAATTTCATGACCTGTGTGAAATGAGTCAGATCCCCCTCCCTATGTGATACAACAAAGCTACTGTCCGGTAAGAGGAGTGACACTGATTTATTTGCCTCAGACCAAACCACAGCCTGCACTGGTTAGTTCTTTGTTTACTAATTGTTTTTTCCCCCCCTCGTGGAGTGAATTCTGGTGCTAATTGTGATGCGCAGTGAAGAAGCAAAGCAAGCTTCTGTATATGAATGTCTGACTCCTCCATTAATTACGTCTCTCTTTGTTCTTCCTTACAGATGAACAGACCGATCCAGGTGAAGCCAGCGGACAGCGAAAGCCGAGGAGGTAGTTGACTGCATTGCTTTCAGCCACAGTGCTAAATATAATTGTTGTCTCTGGCTTCTCTCAGGCAATGTGCTGATCAATTAGTAACGTGATCACTGTCAAAGAAATTCCCTCCACAGCAAAGATTCTCTTTATTAAATCTCCTTTACTTCATCTCACTTTCCTCATATTCAATTATTATTTGATTTTAAAAGGCAGGCAGGTGCCAGCAATTGCCTGAGAAACAAATAACTGCCTCGTTAAGAAGTGAAGCATCAGGCACTGACTTAACAAAGTTTAACAGCAGTGGACAGCAAGGGCGTTTTTTTCAGGCCTATGTCAGGCTGGGCTGTAGAGGTGTTTAATTTGGTTAAGATAAAGCATATATTTTATGGTTTCTCTAACCATGTTGTTTCTGCTTGCACTGAAGCAACTCTACTTCTGAAAAAAAGCAAATTCTGAGCTGGCAGAGTTTTCTGCACCTCTATCAGCTTATCTGGATAAACCTGTTGTGGAAACTGAAGATTTCTCTCAGACCCAAGGAGTTATTCAGGATTTCCACAGGTACAGCTGAAATCAGGAGCTGGTATTTTGCTTTTCGTTCTATACAGTGGATTTGGAAGGCTTTGTTAAGTGACTGTTCAATAGATCACCAGCGATGAGGTGTTTCCTGTAAAAGGTTTTTTTACTTGAACTGATATGGTGGTACTCTGCTGTACTCTTCTAATAGGAGCCTGTTTGTCAGATCAAACACACAGATCACTGAGAGAGTGTGAGATGGTCCATTATACTGGATAAATTGCCACCCTGCTATTTTTTTCTTGTATCTGTACATTTATATATATATATATATATATATATATATATATATATACACGCATATATATAATGACATGTTCTCTTCCTCTCTATCCCTATCTCTTTGGGAAAAAAATAGAGAGCCTTTTCCTCATCTTTTCAGTAAAAACCTCTAGTGCTTATGTATCTGATAAATGTGGGAGTAGATTTTGTCATTTAGTAATGATGTAGCTCTTAGATGTCTGAAAACTTTTAAATTTCCACCATAAATATAAACTCTTCTTCATTTGTGGGATGACTATCTTTGTGCTGGCATTAGTGGAAATCTCCAGCAACAACTACTTAAAAGGAGAAAAATGCCTCACAGAGAAAAGGCATCATGTTCTCTCTCTTTTCTTTTGAAAGCTGTAGATTTCAGGGACTTTGGCTGCATTATTGTGAGGCTGAAACTCTCCAGTGACTCAAGTTCTTGGAAGAATTTGTATATAGCTTGTAGTTAAAGGCCTGGTGTTACAGGCTGGAGAAACCACAGGTCAAAAGAGGCTCTGTAAGGACTGGCTGTGGTGCCACCTAAATGCAGAATTGCATGTAATTCCAGGAGAACTGGGTGCTGGAAAAACACCAGAAATCTCAGCGATAAATACTGCCCTTTCAGAACCTCTCTAAAGAAAATTTGGGGGAATTTGGTTAATACAGGGCAGAAAGTATGAGTATGAGTATAATGAGAGTGACTCAGTAAAAAAGCACTGAGCAGGTAAAGGGGCTTGCATTGTGAACTATTCAGGGGCTGGAGGTGGAGCTTCCTTAGTTCCTGAGTGACTCATTATAAGAGGCCTCTTATGGCGACCTGGAGCACGGTGAACAGGAGCAGGCAAACAGGGTCACAGCAGGCAGGGCAGGCAGGCAGGGTTGCAGGTTCTTGCTAGTTAGGTAAGGTGCTTTTACTGGTTGATTGATTTTGGGCTTTCTCCTAGCAATGTTTTAACCTGGTTGAAATCTGTGGTTGGTACAAGTGTATGTGACCAAGTAGAGCCCTCTGAAAAGGATGTGTCTGTACAGACCCATTCCTGCCTGGAGTGTTTGAGCTTATCCATGGTATCAGGGGTTGCTGTGGAGGAGGCCTGCCTATGGTGTGAACAAGTGAAAGACCTCCTTTTGCTGGTGGCCGAGCTTAGGGAGGAAGTTGAAAGATTAAGGGATAGTGAAAGTGATAGTGAAAGGGAAATAGACTGGTGGAGTTCAGCCCTTACATTTTTAAGGGAGGCCCACCAAGAGTCAGAGGACTCATGTGCCTCCAACTCTGAGGCAATAGAGGAGCCCCTGGTAGATGAAGGGGAGTGGAAATGTGTCCCTTCTCAGGGAGGTAATAACAAAAATCCCTCCTGCCCCCCATCCTCTAGCCAGGTGCCACTTCAGAATAGGTATGAGGCCTTAGATGTAGAGAGCCAGCCAGATGATTTAGAAGATAATTGTCTGCCCAGTGAGCCTCCCAATTATGACTTGTCTAAAAAACAGATTACCACCTCTAACATCAAGAAGAAAAGAAGGGTAACCATAGTGGGCAATTCCTTTCTGAAGGGGATGGAGGGCCCTGTATGTCAACCAGAGCCATCCCACAGGGAAGTCTGCTGCCTCCCTGGGGCCCAGGTATGAAATATCACTGAGAGACATCCTAGGCTGATTCAGTCCTCTGATTATTACCCACTGCTGATACTCCAGGCTGGCAGTGATGAGATTGAAAAGAGGAGTGTCAAGGTGATTAAAAGGGAGTTTAGGGCACTGGATCAAGTGGCTGATAAGGACAGGTGCACAGGTAGTGTTCTGCTCAGTCCCTTTGGTGGCAGAAAAAAACAATGAAAGAAATAGGAGAACTCACATCATTAAGTGGCTCAAGGGTTGGTGTCATCGGCAAAATTTCGGATTCTTTGATCATGGGGCAACCTTTACAGCACCTGCTCTACTGGAATCAGATGGGATACATCTCTCTGTTAAGGGCAGGAGGTTTTTAGCTCATTACCTGGCAGACTTTTTGGAGAGGGCTTTAAACTAGGCCTGAAGGGGGAAGGGGATACATCTGGGCTGTCTGGAAGCAGGCCCAAGGATGGTAAGACTGTATTAGGGGAGAAATCAGTAGCCCAGCTGAGGTGCATGTATAGCAATGTGCGCAGCATGGGTAACAAACAGGATGAGCTGGAGGCCATGGTGCAGCAGCAGAGCTATGATGTAGTCACCATCACAGAAACATGGTGGGATGACTCACATAGCTGGAGCACTGCACTGGATGGCTACAAGCTCTTCAGAAGAGACAGGAAAGGGAGAAGAGGTGGAGGGGTTTTTATATTAGGGAAGTTTTGGATGTCATGATGTCATAGGTATTGAAACTAATGATGACGAAGTTGAGTCCCTGTGGGTAAGAATTAAGGAGAAGGCCAACAAGGCTGACATCCTACTGGGAGTCTGCTGTCGTCCACCCAGTCAGGATGAAGAGGTGGACAACTTATTCTATAAGCAACTGAACAATGTTTCAGGATCATCAACCCTTGTTCTTGTAAGTGACTTCAACCCACCAGACATCTGCTGGGACCTTAGTACAGCAGAAAAACAGCAGTCCAGAAAGTTTTTAGAATGTGTGGAGGATAACTTTTTGTCACAATAGGTGGGTAAGCCCACCAGGGGAGGGACTGTGTTAGTCCTGTTGTTCATAAATAGAGATGGACTGATGGGTGATGTGGAGGTTGGAGGCCGCTTGGGGCACAGTGATCATGAAATTATAGATTTCTCAATAACTGGTGAAACAAAGAGGAATAGACATAAGATCTCTATGTTGGACTTCCAGAGGGCAGACTTTGGCCTATTTAAGAGCCTTATTCAGAGAGTTCCTTGGGAAACAGCCCTTGAAAACAAAGGAGTCCAGGAGAGATGGGTGTGCTTCAAAGCAGAGATCTTGAGGGCGCAAGAACAGACTGTTCCTGTGTGCCAAAAGATGAGTTGACATGACAAACGTCCAGTCTGGATAAGCAACGAGGTTTTGAAGGAACTTAGAAATATAAAAAAGATGTATCATCTCTTTAAGGAGGACAGATTTCTCAGGAAGTATTTAAGGGAGCTGCCAGGGCATTGTAGAAAATAAAATAGGGAGACCAAAGCTCAGTTTAAACTTAACTTGGCAACTTCTGTTAAAAATAATAAAATTTTTTTTACAAATATATTAATAGTAAAAGGAAGGGTATAACCAACCTCTGTTCCTTATTGGATGAGGCAGGCAGGCAACCTAGTAACTAAAGATGAGGAAAAGGCAGAAATGCTTAATGCCTTCTTTGCCTCAGTCTTTAGTAATAAGACAGCTTGTCCTCAAGACAACTGTTCTCAGGGGTTGGTAGGTGGTGCCAGGGAGTCTTGTTATCCAAGAGGAAGCAGTTAGAGAACTACTGAGACACTTGGATATTTATAAATCAATAGGACCAGATGGGATCCACCCTAGGGTGATGAGGGAGCTGGCAGATGAGCTTGCAAAGCCACTTTCCATCATTTATCAAGAGTCATGGCTCACTGGTGAGGTCCCAAACAATTGGAAACTGGCCAATGTGACACCCATTTACAAAAAAGGTCAGAAGGAGGATCCTGGTAATTACAGGCCAGTTAGCCTAAGTACCAGGTAAGATAATGGAACAGTTCATACTGAGTGCTATCACACAGCACTTACAGGATGGCCAGGGTATCAGACCCAGTCAGCATGGGTTTACAAAGGGTAGGTCATGTCTGACCAACCTGGCCTCCTTCTATGACCAAGTGACTTGGTCACTTGGTCTGGTGGATGCAGGAAAGGCTGTGGATGTTGTCTATTTACACTTCAGCAAGGCCTTTGATACAGTTTCCCATAGCATACTCCTAGAGAAGCTGCAGCCCACAGCTTGGACAGGAGCACTCTTTGCTGGGTTAGGAACTGGCTGGATGGCTGGGCCTAGAGAATGGTGGTGAGCAGTGCTGCATCCAGCGGGGGTCAGTCACCAGTGGTGTGCCTCAAGGGTCTGTTCTGGGACCAGTTCTATTTAATATTTTTATAGATGACATGGATGAGGGCATTGAGTCCTTCATAAGTAAATTTGCAGACAACACTAAGCTGGGAGCTTGTGTTGATCTATTGGAAGGAAGGAGGGCTCTGCAGAGAGACTTAGATCAGTTGGATGGATGGGCAGAGTCCAACAGCATGAAGTTTAATAGTC